GTCAAGATGACACCACAGCTGAGGCAGCCCCCGTGGGCTGCTGACATTCCTATTTCAGAGCAAAAAAGTTATCATTCTCAGAGATCAAACAGTTCTCTTAATTAGCAAGATTTACTCTTCTGTTCTAATTTTGAGGGTTTTTTTTTGCCTCCAATGCACCCTCCTCGTCTTACATCCCTTGAATCTGTGAAAACCCAATAAATATGGTGATCCAGAAAAGTCCTTATCTTCACTTGCAGAGAGTCCTTACTCCTAAGAGAGTTCTGACTTTCCTGGACTTCCCACAAGTTGTATTGCATTGCCTTTCTTTTTACTTAAGTCATTAACATACACTTGTTTTGGTCTTCTTTTCTTTAAGCCTGAATGTCAGCTGGCTCACAGGAGAGCATGGGCTGGCTTATTGGTTTCCTCCAAGCCCACAACTGCCACTGGGCTCATGGGAGAGTGCATGGTGGCTTCTCAGTTCTGTTACAAGCCCATGACTGCCACTCGCTCACAGGAGGGCACCAGGTGGCTTTTTGGTGCTCCTCCCAGCCCACATGATTATTGCTGGCTCATGGGAGAAGCTGATACATTCTCTTTTGCAAGGCAAAAAATGAAGCTATAAAAAAAAAAAAAAAAAAAAAACTTCCAAATAATAAATTTTTGCAGGTACAACCCCAGGCCTGAAGAGTAGTCCTGAATGAAGTACTGTGAGACCCCATACGTATCCTGGTGATGCATTGTGCTACCCAAAGTGTTCCAAGATTCTTAAGAAGTCTCTTTTAAAGGCTTGTTCATGACTAATTTATGAAGTATGTTAGAATTTTAAGGAAGCATTTACACATTCTAGTATGTGCCAGACTGAGGACTGTCCTATATTAAATGATTAAGAAACAAGAGAGCTAGAAACAAGCTGCCAACTGGATGGTAGGGATGTCATGGAATGAAGCTTTCCTAGTGACATTAGTGCTCTTAGAGACCAGACATTAAGCGTGTTCATGCTCTTTGTCTCTCTGTTTCTGTCTGTATGTATGTCTGTCTGCCTCTCTCTCTGTCTCTCTGTCTGTCTCTGTCTCTGTCTCTGTCTCTGTCTCTCTCTCTCTCTCTCTCTCTCTCTCTCTCTCTCTCCCTACCCATGCTATGCAGATATGATGAGAAAATGGCAATATAAAAGCCAGGAACCTTGTCTTTGAGAGACAATAAGTTTGCCAGCAACTTGATCTTGCACTTCCAGCTGCTAGAACTGGGAGAAATTTCTGTGCTTTAAGCAGCTCTGTATATGGGTTGTGCTCTAACAGCTGGAACTGATGAGACAGCTATATCCTGGTGGTTCTGGATTAGTAACTAGGAAGGGTGTGGCCTCTGCTAACCTCACAAACGCCCGTGCTGCCTCCCCCTGCCTTCTCTGCACAGCTCCCTACTCCTCTTTTCTTTTGCCACTCCAGTGTGCTCCATACCCCCTGCCTCCCCCGTGCTCCTCAGAACTCCTTCTCCAATGAAATCAACTCCATTAATTCCTACCACAGCTTTGTTTCCTTTTTTTTTATGTGATAGCAAAGAGAAAAATAAAAACAACAAGGCTAACATAGGTAGAAACTTTAAAAATTTTTTCTGTTCTCTCTTATCCATGGATCCTGGCCTTTGTCCAATTGCCGACTACTAAGTAATCAGTCAATGAATAAATATGATTGTCACATTTGTTATTCTTAAAATTAATAAAGCATTTAATTATTATTAATTATTAATCAATGATTAATTATTTGTTATTAAAATTTATAAAGCATTATCTAAAGGAGTTCTAGTTGAGATATAGAGATGAAAGCTAACCTCTTTTGTGGAAAAAACACCACAAATCACTAGTATCCTTCTTATTTTGTATATCTTCAAGCAAGAAGAGAACAAGTGAATCCTCAGTGATTATGTATATGATTGGGGTGTTATGAAAGAGAATTGAGATTTTTCCTGGGAATTTCAGGGAACAATCACAAAGAAGAAAATGTACACTCCTATGTGCAACAACCAAGCTTGCCAGCGAAAAGAAATCAAAAGTCCAACAGACACAAAGTACAGACGTAGGAGAATGGATAACAAGTTGACTATTAGAAAAATTTGTGTAAAGCTTTCTGAGACAAGGAAAATCACAGTTTTTTCCTCTTTATTTTTCTTTCTTTAATAGCGCACAAGTTGACAAAAGACCTTTAACTGAGCAATACTATGAAGATTCAACTCTTTCTTGGAATAGTCTTTGAATCTTCTCAAGATTTAAGATAAATTGGAGAGATACTCAGTATTTGGGGTCCTCTAGCATCACATCCTGGTCTTTGCACATCATGATATGAAATATTCACAGACGGGATTATATTGCCATGAAATAGATGAAAAGAAGAAGAGAAAGCATTAAAAGATTCATCCACTGAGTAGCAAACCCATGCTCCAAAATCAGATGTGCATGATGCCAAAGCTTATGTTTTACCTCAAAGTCAATTCTTTACTCTCTAGTATTTATTAAGGTGTGTCCATAATAACATCTGAAGCTTACAGAGTATTTTTCAACACAGTGTGAAGTTTTATAGTGCACCTGTGTGCTGCAGTTGAAGCAACAACTCAGAGGCAGTTCACTTCTAATGGGGAAGCCAACAGCTGGAGACCGGTATGGATATTAGATCAGATACACTGTAGCCACTTCAGAGGTAGCTACTTGGAGGAATTTGTTGTCTACTCTTAGCCAACTTATTGAACACCACATTGGGCTTTTTGTGTTAAATTAGTACTTTATTCATCAACATCAATATTAGAGAAGAGATCTAAAAGCTGAAATTGAATATAAAAGTCATTTGCAAAAATCTCTTAGAGATGCCCCAGCCTGGTATGAAGATGGTGTCAGAACCCAGTGAGATCTGTGACCTGAGCCCTGATACCTGGCTCAGAAGTGGATCTCTCTGGGGTTAGCACTGGTTCTGAGGACACCTGAACCCTATCATTCAGACTTGCTGCTTCTTGAGAATATTTTATTTAGTTCTGGCAAAGAAGAGAGCTGGACAGTAGTTGAGCTTCCCACACAGTTTGCATTAACCATGTTGAGCTTACTTGCTAGTAAATGTAAAAATCACAGGCACTAAGTCTATGACTTCCTTTCATTGCTCCCTAGCTATAAAGCTAAGGAACATTAGCTGATTCTCATGCATCTCACATTTTAGTGGTTGATGCTATTTCTCCAAAAGAATACATAGTTGTACATGCAAGCAGGTTCTGGCTGATCTGTAATTCAATTCTTTACATTATTTGTATCAAAATCACTTGAAATCTAGAATTCTTCAATTTTTCAGCATACTATGTCTGAAAGTTCTAAAATTAAGGCCAGAGATTCTATCTGTATTGCAATGAGTTCTCCTGTGGTTCTTTTATATGGTGAGGATTCATTCTAGGAGGATATATTTTAAAACATCATGATCATTTGCTGACAGTGCATCCATAAAGCAGACCACAAATCCAACAGGAAGTCCTAATTGCTAGATTTGAAAACCATAATCTGTAAAGCAGTAATACCTAGCACACCATAAAGTCCTGCATCCTATGAACTCCAAGCCACAAATGTGTGGTTACAGTCATCTGCTTACCCATCTAGATCAAGGGAAATGGAAGCTGCTCTCAGTATTCAGCAAGCCTACCCCAAAATAGTAATCTTCTAATAAAGACATGGCTAGAGATTGTCGATAGCTTTTCAACAGACAATTGCGATCTATTTTCTATGACAGTAGTGAGGGCTGTTGGCCAAAAGCCAGTCGTACTGAATATATTTAGGGAGGGAAACAAGTTTCATTACTAAGTTGCTTTCTTTTCTCTACATCAATCAGCCCGAATTCATTCACTTATAAGACATCTTGTCCGACTTTCATCTATTCATCAAATATTTACTGGAAAACTTTTTAGAATCAATGTAGTCTTACCTTTCAATAAACATCATGATAGATGAAAGCAGTGTAGAGAAAGTTTGGGACTTTTGTCTCTTAAGCTGTCACTCATGAGAGGGAAAAAAATTGCCCAGTTAGAGATCTTGTGTTCAGAAGTTCGCCACAAAGCTCCTAGGGCATCTGCTTCTTTCTCCAGAAAACTTGGGATAAAATGTTTGTCTTGCCTATATTACAGATTTACTAATTCACTCATAAATATTTATAGGTCATTTCTTAAATTCCAGGAATCTTTCTAGGACCCTTGGGGATATGGTAGGAAATAGTGCAGACAACACAGGCTGTCATGTGGGCTTACTCTAATAACTCGGAGGAGACCAAGACACGTACTGATATGTAAATATGTATTTATATAACCAAAGAGCTATACAAATATGAATAGAAATATTTTCAAAGGCAAATACTTATCCAGATGTATTTTTAAAAATTTAAACCAAAGCCTTTCTTAAGAATCTGATGCATGGCTTTTATATTTCATATTGTATGATTTGGGATGAGAAAGACAATCTAATGGCAAGCTATACTAATCTAAACTACGCACCTAGCACTTTAATAAAACATGTCTCCATATATCATTCATGATAAAATATCATTTTCTGGCAAGATGTATTTTGCTACTTAGAGGATAGACCAGGTCACAGTACAATACACTTTCTTCCAGAGTAGAGTCTTCCATTTCATGAATTATGTTCATTGCTTGAGAACCAAGTGTTTGTAAATGATGGCTTCTCATGAGGTTGCCCATAGTGGTCGTATTGTCTCTGGCTCTGAGCACTCAAAGCTGTGTATAATTGCTTTTCTTACAGTGTGGGTTGGTCTTACTAGCTTACTTCTAACAAATTATGTATATAAGAGTGGTAGAAGGTTACTGTCAAGATTATATTATAAAGAAACAATAATAAAAACCATGACTGTGCCACATGTTGGGAATATTTTTTCTGGCTTTCTGACTTTTCCCCTCTCTCCTTTCCTTTTCTCTGTTTCTATATTTCTCTCTCTCTCTCTCTCTCTCTCTCTCTCTCTCTCTCTCTCTCTCTCTCCAATCATAAGTAACAGAATATGCCTGCAGAAATACACCAAATGGAGAACTGAGGAGTCCAACCAGCACCGAAAGACCATAGGGTATGTGAAAGATTTCCATTACTCTAACAAAATATCCGAGATAATTAACCTATAAAAGAAAAGCAGTGCTTTTTCTGAGTTACAATTTTAGAATGTCTAGTCCATGAATGGGCATTGCTTTTAGCCTCTGATGGAGGTGAGAAGTCAGAAATACAGACTGTACAGTGGAACAAACTGCTCATCTCATGACCGAAGCAAACATAGAAAGCAAAAGGGACCATGATCCCACAGTCTCCTTCAAGGCCCCAGTGGCCTAAGGACCTTTTGAAAAGCCCCATCTCTCAATAGTTTCACCAGCTCTCAGTAGCACCACCTTGGGGAGCAATGATTAATACATGGATATCAGGAACCATTAACACTCAAGCTGTCTCAGGGCATGTGAGACCTGTTGGAAGCATTCCCTCCAACTCTACAAGGCTTCTAATAATGAAGCTACAGTTCGGAATTTGAGTGAAACCTAGAAAGAGACCTGAATTAATACCCACCTAAGCTGTTTCTGAATTCTAATTCAAAGATCCTGTGAAATAAAATGTTTGCTGCTCAAGAAAGTAAAGCATGGAGCAGTTTTTGGATGACTCACATATACTCTCAGGACCTGACTCTTGAGGATACTATTACAAAAATGAATGGTAGTCAGAATCTCATGTTTTATACTCTAAAAACCTGAGTTGGACTAAAAAACATACAGTGACATCTCACTGATATTTTTATCATGGAGAAACACAAATTTTCAATTCTATTTAATTCATTGGAATTACAGATTGCTATATCCTGGGGTTTGTAGTTTTAAATACACATACTCCATTAAATATGAGTACTTTCATATTTAAACCTTACTGTATTTTTTTTTTTTTTTTTAGGAAGGCCAACAATAACAACTTCCTTACCTCCAAAGAAGTACTTCTCGCCAGTTTTCACTTGCAGAGGACTGTTCGTTCGGACCGCTGATGCTTCATCTCCATCAATCGTGAGAATAGCAAAATTCTCCTTGGCTAAGAAACGAACCTCATGCCACTGTCCATCATTCAATCCAGAACCTGGGAGGTGCAAAATAAAACTTGCTTTAGTTGGGCACAATTGAATTACATGTATTATTTAAACACATTTACAATTTACATATAATTATATACATATATTTACATATAATTACATTTGCATACAATTTAAATATACAAAATTTATATATAATTTAAGTATACAAATATAGCAAATATATAAGAAAAACTGAATTGAATATACACTTTTTAGCAAACTCTGCATATACACACATATACCATATATACCATATGCACATATATACCAAATACAGTTTTAAGTTGACAAACCATCTGTGGTACATCTATAGAGCACACTGTGAAGCTTTGATATGCAATGATTAAAGCAATTAGCATATCTACCTTTGCACTTATTTGACATTTATCCTGAGTGATGGTTTTGAAATTTACTCTCAGTTATTTTACAATTTAAAATTCATGGTTACTAACTACAGTCAACTAAGGAGTCAAAATGACAACTTGTTAGAAAAAAGGAGTAAACACAATTTTTAAATAACATAGTTAGTGCTTTAGAAATAAAACTAAGGTATTTTCATTTAAGAAAATATAGTGCTTCTTGTAATTTGGATGATTCAGTATTTTTTTAACATCATAACTGGTTATATCTTCCACTGGACTAAATAAAGGATAATACAACCCAATCAGGTAAATAAACAGGACTGAAATCCTTTGGTACACTGGGGAAGAAGAACAGGTTCATAAAGTCCTTTGAGAGATGAGGATAAGAATTTTAATTTAAGAATTTATTTTCATGTTAAATTTGCCTTATCCTACTCTTGAATAAGAAAACAGATTTGTGCTTTTTTACTTAATAGTTCTTTATATAAAATATTTTTGTACTGGCTATTTCCTTTCAATAGCCACATTTTTAGTTACAATTTACATAAAATAAGTACTATAGAAAAATGCATATTTGGGGCTGGAGGTTTAGCTCAGCGGCATAAGCGCCTGCCTTGGAAGCAAGCAGTCGTGAGTTCGATCCCCGGTACCGATAAAAAGGAAAAAGACAAAAAAAAAAAAAAAAAAAAAAAAAAAAAGAAAAATGCATATTTATAGTTACCTATGCTAACTCACTACTAATGATACGGAAACAATACCTGATTACTTATAAACAAGGCATTTTTGCAATTGAGTAGGTTATATTTCAAAAAAAAACAAGAAAAGAATCCAATAATATCTACCAACAACAATCACATTTGTTTGCTAATACAAAGACATTTGAAGATAGACATTCTTTTGATCTCTCCACTGGATGGACATGGCTTAATGACTTGTATCCAGTTTACAAAGAATAATTAGGAAATTAAGGCACAAACAGCAAAGCAGCCATGGAATACAAGTATCTGGAGAGTTTAGGAAACACCAAGAGACAGAGAAGTCCAATGAGTCAGAGAGTCAGGGCTCTTTGTCCAATGCTGGGAAGTATTATTTTATGACTAAAGGAACAGGTTTTTGTTCTAGTCTGCTCCAGATGGCATAATCTGAAATTCTCACATAGAAGTTCCTTGAGGATACATTTCAATGTCATTAAAGAAAAAAAAAAACATTAACAAGTAGAGATACTTAAAAATAGAACCAGAGTAAATCAATGAAGCACAGATGAAAGACCTAAGCCCTTGATAGTTTACACCAGCCGGCTGTGAACCACACACAGGCCATTGCCAGCTCTTTGCTACATGTTTTTCTATAGCCTGTGAGCTAAGTATGGTTTTTACATTATTAAGTGGTTCAAAAGAAATCAAAAGAGGGATAATATTTAGTGACATGTGTGAATTTCATAAATCCAAAGTTTAATGTCTCCATAAAACCTCACTGAAACATGGTCAGGCTCATTTGATTATGTATTTTTTTTTTTTGTCTGTCCTGCAATAATCCCATCATACAGCCGCACTGTAGATGCTGTGGTCTCAAAGTCAAGACTATTTCCTATGTAGTTTTCTCCGGAAAAGTCATTAGTTAAGATAGGTTTATTTCATCAAGCAAGGCCTGTTGGAACCTAGAAGATGGTCACATGTCTGTCATATGTACTCACATTATAGTAAATATCATTACAAATAATAACACACCATGCATCTTTCAGAATGTTACATTTTAATTAAGTAATATTGACTGAGCATATTTTATTTCAATAGATGACAATTAAAATGCTGGCTCAAAGACAATCAATACAAATAATTATCAAATTTTGAAATATCTATTTTAGAATATATGTATATTATTATACATGTATATGGGAGAGAATACAAATTTTAATACTATAAAATTATAATAACTTGGATAATCTTCAATAGTGTGTTTACTGGCTTTGTATGCATTCTTTCCACTTACAGTCTCTTTTCCACAGCACAATGCTACCTTTTTATAAAAAAAATGTAACTAACATTACATTATTTCTTGTGCAATAGTTTTCTCTTGCCTCTGAATTTCATTCAGAGCTATGGCCACAGGTGTATGGAGAACTGACCTTCTGTGGATCATCTGTGTTGGTTTTGCCGTCCATCTTCAAACTTCTGTATAAATTCTGTTACATCGAAGGCCTTTCATAACTACTGCATATGAAATATCATTTTCCTTTTCTCCCTTTGAGTTTTAATTTTCCTCATAGAAACTTTCATTCCACTGAATGTTTATTTACTAGTTTACCAGTTTCCTCTCTACCCTGCACCATTTGACTATAAGCTTCTTGAGGTCACATATTGTGTCTGTTTTATTTTCTGTTAAGAAATTTGAGCTTCAGATCACGATGGGCACAGAAAATGTACGCAGGCATAAGGAAGGAACCTGAGAGATGAGCACGAACATGAGTTTCAAAGATTTATGAGCTGACTGTGGAATGCAACCAGAGTGGGGCAGTAAGAAACAAGTGTGGTCCGTGAAATTTTAAGTTTCATTGAATCTATTATCAGCAGATCTTCCTGGAACCCTGCATCATTCTTGACTCATCAACATTGACCTCCCTCCTACTGAGTTATACAGTGGAGCATCTTTTTATCATCTCTGCTTGCTGTCAGAGGTGGACAGCCCCAGGTATTGCAGTGGTTTCCAGTGGTATAGGGAGAGGGACTGGCTGGAAGAGCTGGGTATATTAGGGAGGTATGGAGGGGACTGGTCCCAGTAGCACAGTTGCATACCCTGACTTAAAGAAACATTTTATTGACCTTCTGTCTTATTTCCCTTCTCCTCCCTGGTATTTAATTAGACCAATGTAAAATAAACAGTGCTTAAATTTCTACATTTAGGTCTGCTTTTTAGCGCTTGTGGTTACTTTATGAGACCGTTTCTCATTGTAAAAGAACAATTCTAAATCTTAATCCATGTTCTTTTTGTGATCAGAAGAATATCTCTACCAGTTCAGAGATTTTTTTCCTGACTATGAAAATCTAAGGGAATTCTTTACTTCTTTTATATTTTGCCTTTCAGATAAGCATGAAGAAAAATGCATATAAAATCTTTTGTAGTATAAAATTCTATGCAGATTCAGTCTTATTCTTAAAACCAGTTAGCTGTCAAGCCATAGTGAATACTGAAATGCTTTCATAAGGGGTCTCTTTGAGTCCTCCAACAAAGTTGATGCTTTGAATAATGTATTTTCACCAAAATATTTCCCCAAACTGCATTATGGTTAATTATCTATAGTTGTTTATGTTCTTGATTTTAGTTTTTATGATTGAGGTTGGATGAACTCTGTCCTGAAATTCATTTCTGGAATAGGGCTCTCAAGAACATTAACCTTATAAATGGTCAATCTCTAAGCCCTAAAATACAATCCTGAAGAATCATATGTGCAGTGGAAGACGTTTATAAAATCCCTTTAGCTAGTCCAAATGACAGACCAGAACACCTTCGGGAAAAATCTCTATGACTATTTCTTCATAACAAAATTAATTTATAAATGGAATATAACTACTTTCATTGTTCATAGTGCAAGGCTCATTATTCTAATCAGATTAAAATTAAAAGGTTATTTTATTTTTCCAGAGGAACTTAATTACTAAAGAAATTAGACCCCAGATTGAAAAAGCCTTGTTGACAGCAGCCTCTGTGTTATCTAAATTCAAACTGTGATGTTTGTTCATTTTAATTCCAGTTATTACTTTGAACATTTAATCATTAAAAGGTATGCTCCACAATCTATGATGGAAATGGGGCCAACAATATAATGAAATTTATTTCGAATGCATCGAGGATGACTGTGGAGAACCACCTGGATGATTCTCCTTGAAAGAAGAACAATTGTCTGCATTTTGGCTAAACCTGGTCCTATTTCCGTATATTGATATGTACAGAGTTGGCTAGGACATTTTCCTATTCCCTCAGTTGGTTTTAAGCAATGTAAATGGGTCTAGCCAGGTGCTGATGTGTAGTTCTTAAAGAAATGTGACAGATCAGTGAAGGCCTGCCCACAGCTCTTAGATAATATGTGTGAGCTAGGCCATGTGTAGCCACATTGTAGGGAGCCTCGAAATTAAAGACTATGACCTCTTGTGGTATAAAAAATTACACATCAGAACTGAAGCCCTAGCCCCAAAATATTAGATGATGCCTTGAATAGTGTATAGATTACTTGGTCTGCCTGTCTCTGTCTCTCTCTGTCTCTCTCTGTCTCTCTCTGTCTCTCTCTGTCTCTCTGTCTCTCTGTCTCTCTCTCTCTCTCTCTCTCTGTCTCTCTGTCTCTCTCTGTCTCTGTCTCTGTCTCTGTCTCTGTCTCTGTCTCTCTCTCTCTATCCATATATTGTAGAGATGATTTCAGGCCTCCTAACCAGTTCAGTTCATGGCATTTACATACTTCCCACTACTCTCAGGTCACTTAAACCCTACCCACTACCCTCTACCCAAATCAGTGAAACCTTGTTTTGGCCCTGGATCAAGGCCTCTATTTCAGTTATCCATCATATGAGCCAAATTTAGGACACTTTTGTCTCTATATCTACAAACATGCCTAAGTGTATTTATTCTCACCATGCATTGCACTGAAGTGATGGATTGGAATTAACTTATTAGAATTCC